AATTCATGAAATAGTAGTTCAATAAAATTTTGAATGCGAGTCAACAAACGTGATGACATGGCCTTTGATCTGTGACCCATCGGGAGAGGGTTAAAGTAAGAAGCCCATTACTGAATACAATAATCTAATGAAATAATCACTTCTAGACTTGTATCCATTATTTTATGTTGATATAGCTTAAAGTTTTATTTATCCCACCACTAGCAACAGCACACTACTTGTGTAATGTAAGAGACTGATCAATGAAAGCACCAAGATCACTTCCTTCTATAACTTTGCAGAGGTTAATTCAATTAAAATTATACTCAGAATTCAAATTATGATGTCCCACTTAAATTATCATGTATTTCTTATAATTAAAATTCATCTGCCGTTTATTCAACCAATTCACTAAATGACCTGAATACTTTTGTGAAGTAGAAGCAGCATCTTTCTTACAACCGACAATGCCCAAGATTTTAATACCATTTGTGAATTTAAGCAATTTATCAACCATTCCTTTATCAACATCATTAATGTAAATCAAAAGTAAAGAACCCAAACATTGATCTTTGAGGTACCTCACTTGTTACATTAATCAAATTTGACTGAACTCTGTTGAAAGCAATCATATGTTTTCTCTCCTCCAACATATTTTTGAACCAACTTATCCCTTACACCATAAAGATAATTTTGTTAGAAGTCTTTTATGTGGCACATTGTAAAATGTTTTCTGGAAATATAGATGTACCAAATCCACACCTTTACCCTCATCATCACAAGCAGTTACCTTTTCAAAGATTAGTAAGACAAGATTTTTCTTTGTTGAAATTGAATTTTGTGGTGTTGCTTGTTCAACAGGTGTAACAACAGTGCAAACCAGTAGTCAATATTACAATCAGTTTTCATCTAATGTTGCTGAAAACAGAACCCATGAAGGCTATCTATTTAAACGTGGGGCTCTTTTAAAGGGTTGGAAACAGAGATGGTTTGTTCTTGATTCTATTAAACACCAAGTAAGTATTTTACATAATTTGTGGTCATGTATTTTAACCTGTTCTGATTATGAGCTGGATAAGGTGGAAGTTTGTTATTTATATGTTTCATAATGTCAAAGGAAATGCCAGCATTTCTCGTGCTTCAAACATTCACTCCAATAGGGAAACCCACTCATACTAATTGACTCAACTAACCATTGCTAGTGAGCCACTATCCAAAGCTGTTTGTTTAGTTGATGTTAACTGGGAATCTCCCATGAAATTATCACCACCATAGCTCTTTGTCAATACAAAATTATGTTCAATAAAAACAGCAAAAAAATAAAAAGCGTATGAAATCGATCTTGACTAAATGCTTAACCTTCTAGCAACTAGTAAGAAAGTCACTAAAATTGCATTATCATATGTTCATGACATAACCAGTTAAATGTTCCAAATGTGTGATTTTTCAAATGCAGTACTGCAGAAGTCTGTATGTGTGAAAATATTTGTGCTTTGTTATATTATCCAACAAGTATGTGTTTGATAATGGTTTTAATGTTTTATACTAAAAACCTATTCTGTGTGTTAAGCTTATGGCTAAATACCTTCATTAGGTTGAATTATTTAGTCTGATATTGCATTTATAAAGGCTATACATACCCATTTGATTAACAAAATGTTAGTCAGCATGCATCTCATCTCACAACAATTAGTTGTTTTAACATTTTTAATTCTAGCATAATTTCCCTTTTTTCTTTTTTTGTAACTGCTTTTCGGTTGATACTCATATAATTGTAAGGAATGAGATTAGATTGTTATTAGTGGATCCACTGCTTGATTTTCTTGAAATTGTATCAGATGTTTTATTAAAAATAAACTATGTATTATAAGCTTTGTTAAAAGTGTGGGTGCAAACATTTTAGTCACCCTCAAAATCTAGTGCCAGATAGAGCAATTTGTTTCAATGTGTCAGGAGGTATGGTATTTACAGAGAAATACCATTTAAATATGTCATTAGTTTGAAAGATGTAAAATGTTCTTTGATCTCCAAAAACATAAAATTGAAAAGACTGAGCTTTGCATTTCTATGTACTTTGTCCACGTCCTTAACTGCCACTCACTGTTCAAGACCAATAATATCTATAGCAGAAACTTTGTAAAATTGTAAATGTTTTTGCTGCAGAATTTGAAGATGTAATAGGGTGTATAATTCCATAGAATGAATTGTTAACTGTTAAAGTTCATATTGATAGAAGTATAATAACCATAAATCAGAAACTGATTACTTTTTAAGGTGGGGGTTCCTATACTTTCACAATTGACTTGAATAACCAAGCATTTTTCTGGGATTTTTTTCTCAACTGGGAAAAGAAGTTACTACTTCATTAAAGTCTAGTACTGTTTTTGTGTTTTTTTGATGACAAACAATCTTAGGTTCATTATTCTATAGATAATTGTAAAATAAAATATGTTTATGTTATGTCTTGTTCTGCAACCCAAACCAATACCTTTTGCAGCTCACAAGGTGAGTTGTGGCCACAGTTCAGGAACTGCTGCAGTAGACAACATACACAAATTTTATCCTATACTTTAATTATATTTTGAAAGATTACTGTTTTGTACCAAAAAAACATAAAATTATGCATTTTTTATTCTTAAAATGTGGAAACTTTTCTAGTTTGAGTGCCTTTGTATGTTACTTTTTATTTTAACTCAGTTGTGAGAAGAATATTTACATTAAGTAAAGATGTAAGTGTTATAGCTTTGTCCATTTGTAGATTGTGTATAATGTAAAAGTGTAAATATTGAGTAAATTTATGTTCTTTCCATATTGTAGCAATAATATAACACACATAGATTTACTTTGTAGTGTGTTTCCAGAAATTTACACTCAAAAGTGTACCATATGCAGTTATAATGAAAAAACATAAGATTTTGAAATATTCTAGTTCACTGTTAGTATGGAGTTTTAATATATATATATATATATATATATTATTTTTATATAAGTCTTATTTTGTGAATTTATTGTGTGTTTTTTTTGTAACCATTTTGCTGTAGTCATGTTATATAAAAATGTTTATAGTTGCTCTGTTATTTTGTAGACTCAGCAGGACTTGTCTGGGTTTGGTAGATGACTCTGTGATTTACTTAGAATTAAGAACATGGATTTTAGGAGATATACAAGCTACTAATTTTTAACAATTCACTTGGATGTAAACATTCACAGTTTCTTAGAACAACTTGGAATGTTCTACCATTAAAACAAGATTTCCCATCACTAACAACTTTCTATTTCTACTCTAATTTACTTTTAGTCATACTTGGCTACCTGATTTAAAACTGCAAAGAGATGAAATAATTTTAAACCTGTTACTAAGTCTACCTGTTGACAATATTTTAACTGACACTCTTCTACGCTTATGGATTTTTCCAACTCTTAACTTCTTTATATAGCCAAATGCTCTCGGTTAGGCAATAGTCATTTAATGTGGAACTGTTTACAAAGTAACAGTGTATTACTACAATTCTTTGGTCCTGTATATGTGTATTGTATCTTGTTTTAACTTTGTTATTAATTTACTGAAATTGTATGTGTGTTTTAAACAAGAATACATTACTAATACTGAAGTTCTATATATGCTTTAAACAACAATATAACCACAACAATAATGTTTAGTAGTCTCTGGTCCTTTATATATAGTTTCTTGTTTTATCTTGTATGTTACTAATTTACTGAAGGTGTATGCATGTTTAAAAAACAATGCATATTACAGTGATACATTTTGTAAAGCCTGTGGTCCTATATATACATATATATTGTTCTTTTGCCATGTATGCTACTAATTTATTGAGGTTATATATATGCTTTATGATGTTTTGTACTAGTACTTTACTGAGTTCAAGCTTATAGTAATTCTGTGTTATAGTTACGTTATTATGATGTTATGGAAGAGTCGCACTGTAAGGGAGTCATTGACATAGCTGAAGTTGTTTCTGTAACACCAGTTGCTCCACCGCAGGGAGTTACAAAGAAGTGTGATGAAAAATCATTCTTTGATGTAAGTACCAATGTTTATGTTACTCATATGTGGACTAAGATATGTCTTCCTTCCTATTTGTTAACTTCTGTTTTACTTTTAAAATAACTGACATTGTGAAGTGTATAGTTTTAATATCATTCAGCTACCTCTCATGAAGCTTAAACTTCTTGGTTCTTCTTGGTGTGAAGCATTAATACATATATATAGCTCTTGATTAAATTTAAATACTAACTGTTGATAGCAAGTTTTGGTAGCCACCAGATTAGACATGATTGACATTCTTTTTTAGAAATGAAAATACATTTTCTACATAATGATATGAAGAATCATTCAAAATATATGTGATAGAGTACATTAGATATCTCACACAATTCTAAAGGCAATTTTTAAAATTTGTAGAATCAGGAATTTATTTTGTAATTAACTTAAGAGTTTGGAAATGTAGTCTTATTTCTAGATAAAAGATAAACTTGGAAAAATTTGATGTACTCACCAGTCCCAAAATAAATAGATAATTTTTTTTACAATTTTTAATTGTTTTTGATGTCTAAAGATTACTGCATTAGTTTTCCAGCTTCTTTTGTTTTCTTAAGATATTTTTCAAGACAGATAAACAGTTCATGCTAACTTATCAAAACTGACATGATTTCACTGTCTGTATACCAAATACACTATTTGGGTTAGTTTTGTAGGATAATCTGTTTCTTAAATCCAGTTTTTCTTCCTACAAAATATAACCGATTGACAAGTCTAGCCAGAAAGGGTTTAATACAAGGTTGCAAAGTCTCAACTTGCTGTTAGTACCTAGTTAATGTTTTTATATGTAACCAAAAATGTTCCTCTGGAATGTATTTCATTATTATACAAATTAAATAAATTGTAGCTTAAATAATTGTTGCCAAAACCAGTACTTATTGAAAGCATTTCTCAATTAAACTGTGTGTTGTTTTTAACTCAAAATATTTGTTGCTACTAAATTATAAAAGATTGTTGAAATATTGGGGTTTTACTATAGGTTGTCTGTTTTTTAGTTCCCAACAGTGTCAACAGGGATTTACTAAGTTATGTTTTATACGCTTTTCCTACTGGAAACTTACTTAAGACAAAAATCCTCTTGAATAAAAAAACATTTCATTGTACAAAAAGGGTTAATGCAGTGGTACTCAAACTTTAGGAACACTTTTAATTTGTTTTCACAGAACCCCAAACCTGTTGGTGTTTTTTGTTTTGAAAAAAAAAGATACTGTGTACATGAACAGCTGTGTTCCAAAATTTTCATATTGATTTAGTTCTAGGAAACGTATTTTTTATTCTATAAATCATATTTAAAAAAAATATTTGTATAAAATTTTGAACATGACTTGCAGACCCCCTCCAGTACTCTAGTTAGACCCAAGTTTGAGAAATGCTGGATTAGTGCATTTAATGGTTTGTGACATAGTTTTTCTTAATTAGTGATTATTTATATTATGGAATTGTTTTATCATTGAGAAATTTGTTAAACTCTGGATGTTCTTTTTTCGTGTGTGCAGTTAAGAACAGTACGGAGAATATACAATTTTATGGCAGCCGATGGTCAAGCAGCCCAGGAATGGATAGAAAAGATACAGGCATGTCTGCAGTAACAAAATGTAAAACTACTTTTAGTTCACTTTGTTTCATTGTGGGCACAGTTTTGGGGAGCCTTTGTGTGTGTTTTACACTTACATTAATAAATGGAGCTACAGACACAAGACCTGACCTTAGCAGGCCTTAGTTCATAACATAATTTTTATTTTACTAAACAGCCAGCTGGTTAGCCAGCATTTAAGACCAGTGATAGTCAAAATAAGATTTAATGGCTATAATATGCATTAAGGCTTTTTATTTCCTTCCTCTTTGGTTTGTTAGAAGGAAAACATGGCTCCAAAAAACATCTTTAGAAAAATATAAATGAATATAGCATATTTCCCAACAAAGATAAAATATGTAGCAGTAGTGTGTTCAGATAATTTGTTTCTGGTTTTAGTTTTATCAGTGTCCTTTGCATCACCAATGTATCTAAAGTATTTTTAATAACACACGAAGTACTAAAGTAGCTTCATATATGCTTGAATTATTACAAATCGAGTGGTTAATAGTGGTGATGAAAAATGTTCCTGAATGATATATTTGTGTGTTTATTTACTTAGATAAATTTTTTTTTTATCTCGCTGGTTGTTTATCACATGTAAAAGGAGATATTGTTTTTGCCACATTGTTTGCAAGTAGGAGTGAATATGTTATGTACCATTACATGTGATTAATATAATCAAGTAATAATGACGGTAATGTGTGGAATTAAAGCTTCGGCACCTACAATCCTGATAAATAAATGGTTATTAAAGGTGACATCATACTGAAAATTTAATTTTGTTATCATTCTTAGCAATGACTATCCTACATTGTTTTAGCACAAACTAGATGAAAGCACCTCTTTCTTCTTTTTACCTGTAAGTATTCATTGTATTATTACATTTTGTGATGGGTCCATATCATTTTATTATGTATTGTATTATTACATTTGTGATGGGTCCATGTCATTTTATTACGGACTGTTGTACTTTAATGCTTCTGTGGCATGTTTAATTGAAAATACTCTTAATTTGAAGTCAGTCACGGCGGCTATTGGAAGACAGCTCAGACAAACTTGAATTTGTACGTTTAAAGACATCAAGTTAAGGTCTTCCTCCCCTGTAATCAAGAATGATGGCAGGGTAAGCAAAGTGGTATCTTTCCAGGAATTTACTGAATGTTTAAATGATACGTTTGTGATAGTGGTTTTAATGGTAGTGCCTTTTATTTCTCCAACTAATGCTATTCTCAGGCTATTTATTTTGTTATTAATAGACAAACTTTCAGCAGGGATGTTTTAATAGATATGTTCATCTACAGCAGTGTGGTTTAAACTACGTGCAATTACTTATAGTATGTACAATTAAAAAATAAATAAATAGGAAACATCTCTTTAGAGAGAATACCATTTTTAAATGTAGTACAAAATATATGACACCATAACTTAAAAAATGTTATCCTATCAGCATTAAATTGATGTATTAAAAGAATGATTGCAGATATTTTGCATCTGAAATTTCACTTTTGTATCAAAATTGTTTTGTAACATTTTAGCAATACTTCTGAAGCTTCAGGATAATAAATAATATATAAGCAATTTATTTTCAGACATTAATTTTGCTTTATATATTCTTGATTGTATGAGAATAGAAAAGAGAGAACTACTCATTCTGACATATTTTTTTAAGCTACTAGTTTTTGAAATTAATAACCCTGTAATATGTTTTACTTTAACAATCTACTAAAATTGCCTAATATAATTTTGGACATTTAAGATACCTTAGCTAATAGACATAAACCGCATAATAGGTTTTGAATTTTTTATATTCAGTGGTTTCCATTTGAACATAATAAAAAAAAAATTAACATTATTATTGGAATTTCCTTTTTGTTCAGTTTCTTCATGGAATAATTTTTAATTTATCATTAAAATTTTAATTGTAAATGCTTTGATATAAATCATTACTTGCCTATTTTGACAGTTACTAAATATACTTTAAAATTTTAAAGTATGTCAATCATGAACAAATCTTATGTCATTATAGATTTAATTATTTTGAATGCAACTACAAAAAAAATGGAAGTTTGAAATAAATTATAAGATCATGAAGAGATGTCATACAAAGAAAATGTGTGTGTTTATTTTTATTATAACTTTATACCAAGCTCTGAAAAGCATTTTGAATTAGTTACTACTTTAAGAAATGTGGGTGTACAATCTCCTTAAGATTGTGCAGAGGAAGTAAAAAGGAGTCATTTGATTTTGTTTACTTTAATTGATATAGACTTTCAGAAAATACATGTAGATTTAGCTTTAGGCTTATGCAAGCAGATGGTGCTCCTTCACTTCTTGTCCAGAGGTGTTGATATCCCTAATTTTTGATTATTTCTTCAAAACGTTTCACATATGCTCTAGGACTGCCTATATGAAGTTTTGCTCTTGGTTACTTCTCTTTTTTGTGTAAGATGCATTAAAATCCTTTGTAAATATGATACTGTGTGCTTCTAATCTTTGTGAATTGTGTGAATGTCCAGCACTTTTTTTTTTTCTAAATATTTCCATTGTGTTCCTAGCTTTTTAACTTCCATGATTGTCATTGCTGTAAATACATATGTTGATCAAGAGATTTTATGGTAAGTACAATTGAAGGAATATTGTTTGAAAGTGCGTTGCAACAGCATTTTCTTAAGAATCTCCATAGCTAAATCTGGTTCTCTCATCTGCATCTCTTATTAGTGTATTGTGCCCATAATATATATTAATACTTGGAGAACACAAGTGTTTTAACTTTTTAAGTGTTTTTTAGATAGCTCTGTGATGATCTTGTTATAAATGTATATTTTTCAGTGTTCTACCATCCAGTGATAGATATATTTTATTCTTGACATTGATGAAGAAATAGAAACATAATTCCCACCCATAATGGATAATGTTTTGAACTGGTCTTGTAGGTATTTGTATATTAACATTAGGATGTTTCTACACAAACGATTAAAATTTATAGATGTAATTACTTTTTATTTAAATAAAAATTCCAACTATCAAAATTTTTAAACTTTTTTAAAGCATTTTTATTTTTCAAAATGTCAAGAGAGGAAGTTTTGGAAAAAAAGTAATAGAAATAATCTTTTTATTTCTCATTGCAGTTGAAAATGAGAAATATTTCATGTGGTCAGGAACAATTTGTCTGTTCATGTAATTTAATGATACAGTGTAATATAGTGGATATGCTTTATCTTTTAATATTTGATAACCATCTGAAAAAACAAACAAACAACAACCTTATTTTTCAGTGATATGTGTCATGATTTATTTAAGTAACTGTTCAGTTTTTTTATTTTTGATAATTTGTCTGCTGCCCCCTGGTGGTTCAGCAGTAAACTTAAGGGTTTATATCACAAAAAGTTGGTGTTTAATCCCTGTGGTGGGGACATTATAGGTAGACCACTGCAGCTTTGTGCTTAAAAACAAAAATTTATGTGCTGTGATTATCTGTCTATACAGTATTTTATTAATCAATATCACCTAGATATATTGCTCATAAAATTTTTTTTTACAAAGTAAAATTCCATTTGGCAGAACTGGTAAGTACTTTTGTGTCGGTAATGCAAACAGTCTTCATACATACTTTTATTAGATATTTCTTACTATTTCATTGTTGATTATATTCCTTTTTGTGTAATTTGGGTATACTTACATTTAACATAGTTGCCAGATTTTGACAAAGTAGTTTTGTGCCTGTTAAACTGTACCATCTGAACTTTACTAGACAAAACAGACAGCTGAACAATCAGATGATGAAATATTCTTTGAAGGAGAGAATAGGAGTTGTGTTACTAGTATATGTTCTCAAATTTTATTGTAAAACACTTGGATGTCTACCTTGGTTTATGACACATTCTGAAAAAGTATGCTGTAAACTGTATAATTTTCACAGTTTATTCTTGATTTGGCTACTAACAGTTACAGATGTAGTTACTTTTGGGTTTAAAGTAACACCATGTAATTCCTGAAATATGGTAAGTTTTAATGACCATAATATTATCACATTAATTAAACAATTTAAGCATGATAGAGTTCATCTTATGTATTATCCTGTATGACACAGAGGTCCATAAACATAAAATAGTCAATATCGGAACACACAATATTTTTGTTGAAGTTTTTTCCTTGAAAGACACTCGGTATGATGAGTCGTGATATAGCTTTCTGGAACAACAATGATAAGTACTTGAGCAGCTTTTGGAGCATTTATAGGAACACTGATGAATTTCTGTGCACATGGCTAACAGTTATTGTAGAAGAAAAAAGTTTGTCAGTATGAAGTTTGAAGATTTATATGATAAAAATCTGTTATTCTACCAGATTCCTAATTAATTTAGCATCTGCAGTATTATTCTGTACTGTATAATTTGTAGTATATATACATATGTGACAGTTTGATTAACTTGCTAATGATGAAGCTTGGATTAACTGCTTTGGATAATATCTCGTAGTAAATTATGTTTTTAATATCCTTAAGTTTTATTCTTGGCTTTCAATAAGGCTTGATATTCATCTTGTGCTTACATTGTAGTCTAGAGGGTTACCCACAGAGAGTGCTTTAAAACTGAACCAACCCAGAATTATAAATTGGTGAAGAGAACACCAGTAACTATTAGATAGTTTCTTGTCCAACACTGTTACCTATCTATAGCAAAACTAAAGTCTGGATACTAAATGTTTTTTTTTGCCACATAGTAGTAAACTTGTTTTGTTTATATTTGATTCTGCTGAAATGGTAACCTTGCAGGTTACATAATACTAAGTATAACTTTACACTTGGTACTCTAGCTTTGCATATTATTAAAAACGAATTTCACTTGATGCAGGTCATGTAATAAAGTTAGGTTGTTCTCAGTTTATGTATAATTCACTTTACATTTCAATAAGTATGCTACATGCAACAGAGAAGTGTTGTTTGGCACGAGTTTAGTGTTACTTTGCATATAAAAAAAATTGTGTGAAATAACCATTTAAATCACACATTTAGGTTAAACTGACATTTTCTTAATTAGTTCCCATAACTCGAAACTTTCAAAGAAAATAAAAATATAATCATTTGAGAAATAACTGGAGCACCCAAACAAACACTGAAGACTTTCTGTGTACGTGACCAAAAGTTCTTGTACAAGAAAAGAGCTAAACTCTAACTTAGTCTTTACTAATATATAGTAAAAGTAAAACACTTCCATAAGATCAATTGACAGAAAATAAGATTTCCTTTCTACATGTCCCCCAGTGGGTCAGCAGTAAGTCTTTGGATTTATAACACTAAAATCAGGTGTTTGATTCTCCTCAGTGGGCACAGCAGATAGCCCAATGTGGCTTTGCTACAACCAAACACACACCATTCTACATGTGCATATATTATGGGGGACTGACTATTCAGGTAATACAGAATGTAAGTTACACACTAGTGACTTTGTTTCGGTAGTTCTAATTTGTCTTGTCTTATTTGAGAACAAGTAGATGCTAAGAAACAGGTAAGTACCCTAGATTCTTTTCTTTTTTTTTTTTTCAAGCTCATGTATGTTAAAAGATTCAGAAGTAGTTCTAATTTGTCTTGTCTTATTTGAGAACAAGTAGATGCTAAGAAACAGGTAAGTACCCTAGATTCTTTTCTTTTTTTTTTTTCAAGCTCTTGTATGTTAAAAGATTCAGAAGGATTTTGTGTCATATTCTTAAACAAAACCTTAAATGTGCATCAAGTATTTAAAGATCCTTATTACGGAAGCCAAACCAGACTATTATTTTGTTATGATCATGTAGGCAACAAAACTAAAATACTATTAACAGTAAAACAACAATTGTTTTAGATAGTTACTTAAGAAATTTACAAAACTGCCATGCTACTTTTGTAACTTCAGTATTTTTTGTCATAAGTAAACATATACATTGGTTAGTATATAATTTTTCTACCAAATATTTTACTACTATTGTGTAGTAAAATGTATTGAGGCCAGTTTTTACCAATGGCATTTGATGACAATTGTTGGGAGGTACTGTTTATTATTATGATACATTTTAAACTAACAATTAATATAACTTGATCCCCCCCCTCCAAAAAAAAAAGCACACACACAAAAACTTGGGTTTTTACATCAGTTTAAGTCAGATAATATTATGTCTATAATAAAATGTGAAATGTTGATAAGGTTAAATAACAAAGCTGTTATGGGGTTTTTAAGGAATGATGGATGGAACAATGTTTTATTTTTCATGATGTTTAGTGATCTAATTTTGTAATTTCTGCTAATGTGATGCAGCAAATGTAAAGATAAATTTTATTAGTTTTCATGTTTAGAGTAGTTTGTTGTTTTCATTGCAATGCAAGATATGTAATTGTACAAATGTATCTAAGTTTTGTCATTGTACACGTACTTGTCAGTCACCAGCAAATTAAATAAATGCTGTTTTTCATGTACAGTCTGTGTAATTAAAAAACTGTTGTCACTTGAAATTCTTTGTTATGGTTTAAAACCCAGGCAAAATTGAAATTCTCAATATCAAAATATAGTTGTATAAGTGGTAGTATTTTTGATTGTGTGTTATTAACCCACTAATTGCAGCTGCTCTAAACACGTATGGAAGTTTTACAAGCCATACACTGTATATGCCACACTCGCACTCAACTGCCAGATGCGGACCTACCATATACGGCAAATCAGCAGTCGACGGGTTAAAGTTACAACATGAAAGTGGAAAGGAAATGTATTCAGTTTCAATGAGATTTTACTTATGTAATTGCTTCAACTTCAAAAATGGTACTTGAAACTGTAAACTTGGGATAATCAAAAACATTTTCAATTTTCAGTAGCGAAAAATGAAGAAGGTTCACAGAAATGTAAACGGTTTATTCTTTAAGTACATTGACTAATTCTGCTGATCCTATCTTCTACACACCACCAGTTATTTCTGTTTCTTTTTTGCAAAAAAAAAACAAACAAAAAATCATTACTTTGACAGATGATGTTAATTCATGGGATCAGGATGTGTGTGCGTGTGAGCCTTTCCAGCTTTGGTGAGAATCACAGGCTAGAAAAGCTTTCATATAGGAGAAAATGTGCTTGTTTGTAGCTGACACCAATTAAATACAGCAGACAGGTAAAAATACATTTGATTAATAAAATTTATTTCAGAGTAAAATCTCTAAGAGATGTTTAAGGTTACAATCATCAGTATCATACATGATTTAAAATAGTTCAATGACTAAGAAAAATTTGCACCAAACAGATAGGTATAGATGCACAATCTTTGATGTATGATAATGTAGAATAATAAGTAACAATTTTCAGTTTGAAGATATTCATTAGGTGGTTTTTACTTAAGATACTGTAAAACTTATTCTCGTTTATGTGTGTAATAAATTTGGAAAGGAAAATATACCTAAAAACCTAAATAACAAGTTAAAAGTATTTCGTCAATAGTTCATCCACTCATTCACTATACAAAGGCTTTCAAAAACACATTTTTGTTATATTATAGTTTTAAACTTTTGACAATTATATACTGACTAGAAAGCGAAAAAAAAATTGCACATATAACTGCAAATATCTATACTTACATTAAAAGAGTTCAGAGAACTAATGACATGACAATAACAAAACATCACAAAACATTTTGAAGTCATGGATTGCTGCAAAGATATCAAACCAACATTTTAGCAACAGTTGAGCAGGTTGTTAGAGAACTTTAATAATATGACCTCTGACTACTTAACAGTAGATACAAGTTAAATGATAAAAGATTAATTTAAGTTTCAAATACATCAATTCTCATTCATACTATCTTCATTTTTGCATGATAAAAGTGTAAGATACTTTAAAAAAACCCATTAAGACAGCAAAGCCTGAGAATAAATACTACTGAAACATGTATTCTCTTAGTTAGAAGGAAAGAGTACATACAGTATTGCATGAAAAAATTTTAATATGAAATTCTCAGGATTCTTGTACATGCATACTGTCATTTTGAAAAACGTTTCATCAAAATATAGAAACATACTGAGAGGTAATTTGAGTAATGTTTATAAATTCAATGTAAGATAATTTCTTGCCCAACACTTTTTTGTTATGTCTTTAGTGCGTACTTCATGATATATATGTATATAGTGCTACGATGTGTGAGCTTTAAAGGGAAAGGCAAAGAACTACATGTATATTATTTGGCTATTGAATAAAAATCACTGCTTACACTACATTATAAATACCCCATTTTATGCATGTTTCAAGACAGCTAGTTATTAATCAGTTAGTATTTTAGAGTTTGATACTATTTTGAGTTAAGATTTACAATATAAAAGACCCTTCATGGACTTCACAATAGTGATAGAAAAATGGAGATCATGATTATTTCAAGAGTTTCAATTTTATTCAGGCTACATTAAATTGTGTATAAGTCACGCACACATAGACAGTTTATGTAAAAATGATCATAAATATAATTTCTACCCTTTAAAGTGTTGTTTATTTTTTTACAATCTTAGCAAGAATGTATTTGAGGCATTTCAAAAGCTAACCAATAAAAAAATTTCTATTTGTTTTTACATATACTAGTGTGCCACTGTGGGATTTACTGAGATGGCTGTGCTGAGGTTGGTGTAAAATAGTGGATGAAGAACATTAATCATCTGTTCCGAGAAACATTTTTTGTGAACTCGAAAGACTACAGAATACAATCAGGAGGAAGTCCAACATTTCAATCAAATAAGAATTTATGAGTGAAAGAATATAATATCATGCCATTCTATATCTGGAAAACTTGTATAAATAGCAAAATACTATCGCTGAAACACCAATGAGCAACAAGAACTATAAATTTTCATAACCACAAGTTTTTAGTGCATTCCAAAAGAAAATTAACATGGATTTTCAATTAGAAATAAAAAATCACAAGACTATTCTGCATAAGTTTCTTAAAAAAAAAAACCCAGCTGTAATTAAAAACACTACTAATTATAACACCTGAACAAAGGTATACGAACCCCACCTTGGCGGTGGGTGGTGATGACTAGCTGCCTTCCCTCTAGTCTTACACTGCTAAATTAGGGACGGCTAGCGCAGATAGCCCTCGTGTAGCTTTGCGCGAAATTCATAACAAACGAACCCCACCATATCTGCTGTGTCTAGTGCCAGTGAGATATTTTGCCCAATACCAGGACAGTTCAGACTGGTTGGGATATGACAAATATAGCAGTGGTTGAGATGCTAGTTGAATATTTATTGCTGAGCATGATTGGCTATCTATGCTGTTCCCACCACAGGTATTGAAATCCAGTTTTTAGCATTATAGTCCTTTAAACTCAGACTATTTATATTAACAAATTATTTAAAGTAATTTAACTAGTAGTAGTAGTAGTCAATATTCATTATTCCATCATGAAGGCATCAATTTATCCTAATGGCAATAATAAGGTTGGAAGAGTATTTTGTCAAATCTACATTTTTTTTTCTACAAATAAATGGTGATTTCTCAGAAACTTAATCTCTAAATTAATAATGAAAACAGCAAGCTGCAGTTAAAGATAGTATCCTCTAATTCAATTCTCTTGTTATCAAGAGCTTTCCAGATAATTAAAAAATATATATATTTTGTATTCACAAATGTGTTGATTATCAATGCAAAGTTCCTGTATATCATAAAATGCCACCAGTAAATTAAGATATTTACATTTTTATCAGAATTAACATTAAGAAAGGATAATCTTCACGATGTGAAATTTTAAGATTTCTGCAAAACAATTACAAGTAAGAATGATATCATCACTGACACTAAAGTAAGGAGAACATTCTTGGCCAGTTATCCAACCCACATACTCAAACAGCTTACAGGGTATCCAAAACTGTTTGACAAACCTAATGGATGAAACATTTACAGACTATGTAATTAGTGTGTGGTGTAGCCAAAAAAACTGGTGTGCCTAAAACTGAAACAAACTGCAAGTTCAACATAACAATTCTACTCAAGAATAACATCTATTCCAGCATCAATAGTTAATCAAATTAAAAATCTGTACAAGAAAAAAAATGTAACTTATAAAAACAATAAACATGAAAACCCAAGCACTTGTGAAAATTAGACCATCTTCAGTATTACTAAGGTGTCAAAGCTCAACTCTAAGAGATGTATGTGTACTGACCAGATAAAACTAGATAAATGGCATTTGATATCCATTTAGTGTCATGGGAAAATGTATCAAATATGGTTACTTCAAAATAAAGCTACATAAAGAAATAAAATGATTAATTGGAGCATATTTGACCACACTACAAAAAATTGAAAATTGACTTTTTTTTTTTCCAACTATATGTTTCAAAATAATTGAATGCACAATGGTGCAGTAAATTTAAATTCATCTAAAAACATATGCAATTTTCTTTTACTTCAATTGTTTCCTAATTACTAAAAGATGCAGAAAGAATTGTCATCACAGAATAGGTTAAAAAATATTATCTTTGTATCTACAAATTCCCATGTTCTATTGGGTATTTGCCTCTTAAATGTACAATAATTATACACATGTTAATGTGAATATTTGTTTCATATAAGAGTACCCATACTGTGTAAATAAATTCAATTAACATTAAAAAACAAAAGTATACTATTACAAATAAACATGCTGTTATTTCAAAATGAACTGGATTATTATATCGATTTATCTCCTACACTTGGCTGGTTTACAACAGGTCCTACTGATTTCACAAACAATGGTTATTGGCTTCATCTGAATTTCCACAACTTCAAATGATATTTTTCATTTCATCTAACACATGCAAAATATAGGGTGTATGTGTTATTGAAGAAACAGGATACAAATTAAAAGTGTTCTAAATAATAAAAAAATAGCTTCCCCTAGATAATGTAACATTTTACAATAAATATGTAGATAACAGATAAGTCTAGTTGTTTAACATGAAAGAATGAGATAAATTTATAGTATAACCATGAAAAAATCCTCCCCAACTTATGAGTGATGCTTATCATTTTCAAGTAAAACTAGTAGGAAAGCTTCTTACCTGCACGTTTTATGATACTACAAGACGTAGTGTCACACTATTAATACGTGTACTGTACTATGGAATTCAGTAATTAGAATGTTATAATTCTGATGCTACATATCTGCTGCTTAAAACACAATTCACTGTTGACAGAGGTATAACAGTTAAGGAATAACTTAATGAATGACCTGCATGGGTGCATGTAGCTATTAGCAGGAGGACATTTGAATGCAAGTTATATAGATATTTGCAAACTTCACTGTTCTGTCAAGCTTACTGCATTAATTTGTGACTAAGAAGCCAGGGAGACTTTTATGTCTTTTGGTGTTAATGTGGCTGAAAAATATTAGCCTGTAAATCAATAAGTACAAGAGATTAACAAAACTGATTTACACAAATTACACCAAGACATTGTCTTCTCCACAAACTTTTCAAACAGGTCATCCATTGAAAACTCCTCATTATTTATAAAGTAGCTGTTAGCATGTTATATAATTGGGGACTGTTATTAAAACAGCTGTCAGTATCTCTCTACAAGTGCCCCAAAACAATAATTGTATCTTGACAGTTTATACAAAAAAAGTTACTTTTGGCTATTTTCAGATCCAAACTTGTTGTCATTGTTAATATATATACAATGTATAGCAAAATCACATTTCCTTATTATGTTAAGAATATAATAACTTTTATTAAAATATACTGTTTAATATGTATAATAATGTTAAAATGTACAGTTTATTAGTAAAATAGCATTTATTAAAGGTAAACCAAATAACAGCCACATAAATTTCATGACTTCAATAATAATAATAAGAGTAATGTGAATGGAGTGTTAATGTGGATGTAACACTGTTTGACAATAATTACTTTTGAATATCTAAATTATTAAGTGGAAGTAACACTGTTTGACAATAATTACTTTTGAATATCTAAATTATTAAGTGGAAGTAACACTGTTTGACAGTAATTACTTTTGAATATCTAAATTGTTAAGTGGATGTAACACTGTTTGACAATAATTACTTTTGAATATCTAAATTGTTAAGTGGATGTAACACTGTTTGACAATAATTACTTTTGAATATCTAAATTGTTAAGTGGATGTAACACTGTTTGACAATAATTACTTTTGAATATCTAAATTGTTAAGAGTACCAAAAAAATAGTCTCAATATGTAAACATTTTTACTACTGTCAAATTGTAACAGCTGGGAACTCCCCAGTTTTAACTAATTAAACACGTAAGAGTGGGCAAGCAACTGTTTTGAATAAAAAAATAAAAATTCACTGTCAAATAAAATAGATATATCGGTGAATGATACAGTATGCTTACACCATACATGATCAATATTTAACACAAATTGTTGTTACAACCCCAAACAAGTTTACATACAATAGTACCTTAAATACAGGTTTGTACAATATCTTGTGAAGATTGTCTTTTTAAGCAACTCCACTTGTCATGCAAAGTCACTGGCTGCTTATTACACAATAATGCCTAAGCAAGGACGGGATCATTGTATACCCAATAATAAACTACACATAACTTTTAACAGCTTTTATTGCATTTACGTTACCTGTACAGTTTTATTGGCCATATTTTAAAGTTCCCTGATAACATGTTTTTGCATCAAAGGCTAAAACATTGGAATTCCTATGTTAATGTATTCTTGATTAGATATTTTTCATAAAAAAGTAAGCAAGACATTAAAGCATATTTAAAAAAAATGCACACAAAGTTCTTGTAATATTTATATAAACTGATAATGTAATGTGTGTGCCATGATTTACAAAAAAAAAAGGGAAAAACTAAGGATCTGATTGTAATATATAAATATAAGATGTACAAATATGTTAATATTTGTATACATTAGAGTTACATGATATTTCAGAAGGGGAAAATGTAATATTTCACATTAGAATACTTATTAGACTGACAAGAAGTTTTAAGTATAAAATACTGAACAAATTTAAATAGATGAACTTACCTTTGGATGAATAAAAAGTTATAAGTTTGGCACGCCATTGTGCATGTTTTAAGCTGTTAGTATGTTAACCCAACATGTATATTCAAATCAGATGATATGCTGAAATATTGTAGAATTTAATGTATGTAAGTATCAATTATGAATGCAAGTGGGGATTTTGTGATTCCTGAACATAAAATACCGGGACAAAATATGTAAACATACAGTATGTAATTAGTTTTATCAACAACTATGAATAGCGTATAGTAAATGATATGTAAGGTGTAGGAAATGTGGTTTTTAAATGCTGTTGCACTTGCAAAAAATAACTAAGTGATGAGGTGAAAAAAATTACTTATATATGCTTTGTGAAAATGTGACCTGACAATGAAAATAAACTATAAATAAATCAGTAACATAAAAATACTTTAAACACAGCTACTGAATCTTACACACAGCAGTAATTTCTTAATAAATTATTTATTTTTCCACTAATCTTTTTGTGTAAAATTCACTAATCTATTGCCTACCCCTACTTTCTCTTAGACAAGCATGCTATTTCTTGGATATGAAACAGATTACAGCAATTCAATATTCTATCAAACTACTGTTTTTTTTTTAATGAAAAACTTAAGATATTCTGATTACTGAAATTTTCAGTTGTTACCACAGAAAAGAATCTACATTTATATTATTCATCAGTTTATTCCTATACTGTCAAGAAATACATTTTCTCTGAAGATTACTATACTTCATTAAATTCCGATGTGCTTTATATTACTTTAAAAAGTGCATATGTATAGTCTGCAGAAATATTTATGTATAGATTTCTGTGAAAATTACTAACTGCTACTAATAAAGCATTTTTCTGTGAAGTCTAATATTAAAAGCAAACATTGATACTGTATTGTATTAAAAGCTACTAGTTGAATTTCCTTCTTTAGTATTTCAGCATTACTATGTAAAATATTTTTAACTTTTACCTTTGCATACCAAGTATAAGTTTCTAATCATCACTAAAATATAAATGCAGCACAAAGTATTAAAAACAACAATAAAAGTACTGGTGATTCCTTATAGCTACAGGCCTATATTCCACTGGTAACAGTGATCTTTGCTTTTATATTCTTGGGCATAAAAGAGCATTCTTTCAGATATTTGAGAGTTGGTGAATTTTGCAGTATGCACTGATGGAGAAGTAAAAAAGGAAGTGGACTTGCCATAAAGTATATTTAATACACAAATAGCTAGTGACCCATAAAAATAAGATAAAGGTTACGAAGCATAGAGAGAAAAATTATGCTAGAACAGAAGAAAGTTTCATTAAACACCACTATTAACCCTACGTGTACAGGTGAGGGTCAAAATTTGGATGCTCCAACTCTGAATACAGTGCCATTCTAAATAGTATTATGAATTTGATGCCAGAGTTATCAACTTTCCATGTTACCCTACGTTGCTGATTTTGTAACAGTTTGTATTAATAATATAAAAAATATCAGATACAACTGCAAGGATACTACAACAACTTTAGATATGCATTTAAGGGGTTGTTGTGGTTATGCAAATACAATTTTCAAACTTTACAATGGACAAAAGCATTTCTATTCTCAATATCACTTTGCACTCCGATTTGTCCGAGTCCGACTCATTTTGTCATTTCACAGACATATCTTTAATCCCATGCACAATCAGTTAAAGGAAATGGGATTGGAACCAAAGTAGATAGAGATTTTTCGCTGAATGAGGTAGAAAAGATAACAATCATTAAGAAACCTATGAGAAAAGGACTTCTTGGTATACTCAAGACTAAATATTAAAGATGGCAATCTAATAAAACAATGGAAAGCTATGAGACTAGAGAAGTAAAGCTAAAAGATGGAAATACATGCCTTGAAATTCACACACTTCTTTATAATGGAAAAAAAAGAAAAAAATGTGTGGAAAAGCCTTGAAATAATAGTCAATTAAACAATGAATAATTGGGAAAAGTCAACGATAATGGTAAATTGGAATTTCAGCCACAGTTATAATTATTACTGACAGAAAGAGAGAATGCCAAAGCTGAAAACATTCATGAAAAGAACTGTCAGTAGATGTAGAATATAAACAAAGCAACATACATATATAGAGGTATCAATGAAGTCATTAAAAAAAGACAATCATTTCAAAAGACAAACATGTAGTCAGCCACCATGTTACTGTTCGATAATACCATTTAACAAAACACACACAGATATAAATAACAAGTATATGACTATCAGTTGTCAAAGTATGTATGACTACATTATAAATATTACTGAACATGAAAGAATGAATTTACAAAATTTGTTATATAATGATCATGTGGGAGATGAGTCGAGAAATACATGAAGTACCAAACTGACATTGTAGTTTTCTGTTCATCCAGAAACAAGTTAATATGTTTATATTAAGTAGTTTTTTCACACATACACTTTATTTTCAAAACTCCTTGTCAATCTCACAAAGCACAAGAAAATCATAAATGGCAAAATTTTCATACACAGTTACTTCTAGATGCACAGAGTGCATCTATTTGTACAACAATATTTTTTTGTTTTTATGTCTAGCTTTATAGTGCTATTCCTTAAACAAATGGATGTATTTGCATTAACCCAAAAGCTACATGATTTACTTTACCTTTCAAAATGAACAATCATTTGTCAAATGTTACTTACATTGCCTTATTCAAAAGATTAATCCATAAGTTCAGTGCATTCAAATTTCAGTTACTACGTTGTTCCCTTAGTGTGACTTAGGACGTACTTGACTGTTCTTTCCTCAAAGCAGTATTGGTGGGATCTTGAACTGAAGGGTGAACTACCATACTTGTAGGTAAATTATTTTTTTCCTGATTGTTTTGATATGTGTTAAAGTAAAGGTGTCGATAGATAGGTCCTAAAGATGACTGTAACCCACTTACAGGTGTAATTAATGTTGTGGTGGTTCCTTCTGATGGCAAAGATGTGGATGTATTAGCAGTGCATTGAGAACTTTCAATTCTGTCAGACTTTGCTACATCTGGAGTCTGACAGTTATTTTTTAAATTGCTTACATAAGATGGTACCAAAGTAGGCTTAAGTAGTGGTGAGGTTGTTGAAACCATTGGCACATTTGAGATCTGATTAATTCCTGTAGAAATTGAGGAAGACAAGGTGATGCTCTTGGATACAGCTGAACTAGTCTGCAATAAGGAATTTTCCATTTTTGCTTCACACTTTGCTTCCATGTTGCAATAATGGAAAAAGTGGTCAGACCTTGCTAAGAAAGCTCGGCCACACATAGTACAAGTAAAATTTGACCGGGCAGTTTCATGTCGTTTCATGTGTAGTTTCAAGTTTCTCTGGTTTCCAAAAGGTTTATCACACATTGGACATAAAAATGATTTACCTACTTGGTGAGTGGTGAGATGCTGGTACAGGTTACCCTTAAGAGTAAATGTCTTAGAACAAAACTGACAGTCATAAGGTTTTGAAGCACAGTGTGAACTCATGTGAGAAATTAACTCTGCTTTATTACAGAAATTTTTTTTGCAATAATTACAAACATATGTATTAAGTTCCAGAGGTACTGACTGTTTATGTATCATTTGTACATGCTCATGCAGTTTAGCTACAGTGGAAAATGTTCTTGAACATTCGGAGCAAAAAGACAAGTCTGTCTGTGATGACTCAATGGGAGAAAAGTGTGGTATATTTGATGAAACCTGAGCTTCTGAAGTTTTCAGAGAGACAGATAAATTAACTGCAAGAGTTTCATTGTGTCTCCTTTCAACTGAAGCTTTAATTTCCTTTGACTGGCCTGTTGAATGTGACTGATGTGACACAGAAGAAGGTGCACTAGAGAGGGCTATAGGGTGTTGCATTCTAGTATATGTCGTCTCATGAACACTAGATATATTCTGAAATGTTTCAAGATGTGCTATACCATGTTTTCCAAAACTAGTCCCCTTGTTTGTGGTTTGACTAGATGACTTTTCTCTGTTGTGGGTTCGTAAATGTTGTGTTAGATTGCCTTTTAGTGCAAATTTTCTTCCACAAACTATACATGCATGAGGCTTCAGTCCACTATGGATTAAAATATGTCTGCTTAAATCCCCTTTCAAGCTAAAGCACTTACCACAAGAAGAGCACTCGTATGGTTTTTCACCAAAGTGAGCTCGAATGTGTCGATGCAAGCTGTCTTTCTGTGCGTAATTCTTACGACAAATAGTGCAAGTGAACTGTTTTTCTGGCGTGTGTGTTCGAAAGTGTTGCATTAAGTTTCCTTTTAAGGTGAATCTTCGACCACATACTTGACAAGCAAATGGTCTCTCACCATTATGAATCCTGAGATGACGCTTTAGATCTCCATTTAGCGTAAAGGCTTTTGGACAGTAGTTACAACAATATGGTCGAAAACCTCTATGTACAAGCAAATGTCGTTGCAGATTACGATTATCTGAAAATGATTTATAACATCTATGGCATTGAATTCCCTGAAGTGATACCTTTTTATTCTCTGTCTTCACACTTCTCTGAATAAGAAGATGTTGTTCTTCTGTATACAATTCTGGTTTTATTCCACTATGTATATCTAAAGTTGACTGTGTAACAGGTTTGTAAACAGATGCATTTGGAGCTGAAGATGTGTTTGAGGTTTGTGATGACAATGTACTTACACTTTGTGACAGTTTCTGAAACTTTGATCCATGGTTATTTGACATGTTTACTGCAAAAGGCACATTTTGTTGTGTTCGAGCCAAGTTTCCACGAAAGTCATCTCTCAGAAATTCTTGTTCAGATGTTGACTCAGGTTCTTCACTGCCCTCCATCTTTGATTCATAATTAACTAATGAAAACTCCTGTTTACCATTAGTACTACTGGGTAGATACGACTCTGAAGCAGGTTTTTTTTCAACATGGGAAGGACCCAAAATATGTTTCCAATAAACTGATGGAGCCAAACTTTTGTAGTTGTCTACTATACTTTGTCCAGATCGAGAGCTAGAAACTCGAGTTATCTGCTCTACAACTTTGGCGGCCTGTCTCAAGATTTGCCAATGCAGTTCAGTATCCATATTTGGAGAAAAATTTAGCATCTCACGTAAAGATGGTAAAGGCTGTGTAGATCCTCTATCAGGGACTATAGTTTGTGGGGATGTTCTATCTGAGGTAGTACTTGGGTGACAGAATGCTTTCTCTAACATATTGCCAGAATGTGAAGGGATCTGAGATGTCACTATACTCTCTTCTATTACAGGTTTTCCAGAGAGACCTGCATGAACAGAAACAGCTTCTGATCTAGATGACATTCCAAAATTCATGATGACATCATTACATTGACTAACTGCATCAGTAGCATTATGCATGTTTGGAGCATGGGTAGCTGGAGAAATACCTATATTAACAACTTCCTTTGATGAAGAAACTTGCAATTCAGAGGAGTCTAGAGAAGAAGCTCTACTAACTAAATAACAGAAACTGCCTCCATTCTCTTTAGTTTGATTGTTACAGACATTTGTCATTATTACTCTCTGGCTTATTTCTTGATTTGGGAACAGCATGTTTTGACCACTATTTTCATTCATGGTTAAATATTATTAGTGCTTAAGTGTTAAATATCAGTTTATATACAGTATACATCACAAATAAACTATGCACTCACATTCACTTCCAAAGTGACAGCAACTAGAGATATTTTTCTGTCTTCTCATTTTTCTGTACAAGACAACTGGTTTCTGTGAAAAAAAAAAATAAATATATATATATATATATATGTATACATACAATTTACTTTACCCATTCCTGATAAGTTATTATTTTGAAAATGAAAGGAGAAACAGAATACAGCAGATATTTGTCTTAGAAGAACTGAGCAGATGCAAATTGACAATTACAGTACCAACAATTACTAAAATTATTCCTTGATGCTCATTCCTTCTATTGTAGTTTACTTCAATCTTGTACATTAACAGTGATAAACTTAAATTTACATTGTACAGTGAAAACATCTTTTCGTATGGTAGAGGGATTAATGTCAAATAAATGTTAGTTAAGAGATAATTTCATGTAGACCTACAATGTGCATTTACAAAATTTACAAGAAAACTGCTGTACATTATTTCATACAAGTTTGTGACAGAGATGATCATGATATACCTGTGTTTCAGTATTAGTTGAAATGACATTTATTTATGGGATTACTTTTATTTCCCAGAATATTATTTAAAGGAACTAGTTGAATTCAATTTGTAAATAAAATTTGAAAAAAAATTAGTTGTACATCTGAGGGGTTATTTACTTCACAAGGATTTAAAAATTGCAGTTTCTCTGTAAATCAGCTTCATTAAACAGTTACTTAATGAATCAGAGCTGGCTTCATGTGGTCTGTTTATAGTATGTCCAATTATCAGGTTCATTCCCAGGACATGAAAAAGTAGATAAGAAGGTTCTTATTGAAATATGTATTATCAAGTATTTTAGTATTATAATTGTGGGAAAATACATAAATATATGAAGAACTTGTATAAAGTATAAATGGATCAAAGGATTAATGGTAGTCATTAACTATGTGATGAATGGAAGTGTTCAGTCTTATGATGCCTATAACCATACTATTAACATATGAAACATTTAACGAAGTGAAAAACACATGAAGCTCTTATCACACATACAATATTTTTGAAAAATAGAACAGCCATGATCAACTATCTGAATAAAGTAAGATTAGAGTAATAACTTACACTTGTTCAAAACTGAGATATCACAGTTATTGGTTTCTTTACACTTACTCCAGGATATTGTAAACACAACATATGCAACATTTTATGAGAGTGAAAACACCTTAAGTTCTTATTACATGCACATTATTTTAGAAAAAACAAATTGTAACAGAGGGGAAATGGACATTAAAGCTAGTCATGAACAAGTACTTGAATGGGGTTAGAAAGGCCCTGGGATCCTTAAGCAGTGATACAAAGGAACTTACAAAAAGGATCTGTTTAATATGCTCGAATTCTAAAGAGAATCTGACATACATGAGGGTAAAGCATATATATGTCTGTTTAGAACAGAGAGTCAACTAATTTTATTGGTTCAGGCAAGAAACTAATTGTCATGGATTATATAGATGGCATAGCAAAAATGAAATAATAATAAGGGGGAAATTTCCAATCCTTAGGATAGAATGTGTATCAGATAGTACTACCACAGAGTAGAGCTACACAATTTAATAAGTCATCTATGATCAGTGTTTACACTAATTAGTGTAATGTAAACTAATCAATTAACTGAAATTAGTGTTTCCAATTATTATCATTTGTAATTATTCCAACAACTGATTAATCCAAATTATAATTAAATCAACTGTCACAAAAATAATCAACTAATCAAAACTAAGGTTTCTGATTGTTTCAACTATCCAAGTAATTGAAATATTGCAACAATACTTGCTTGCCAACCTTTTTTTTTATTGTTCTTGTTGAACTGCTGACTAAAGGGAATGCAACTGACTGGCAGCACCTGGCCCCAACATTTTTTTTCCCCTTTGTTGTTGTTTTTGTTTAACTGCTAACTAAAAAGAAGATAATTGGAAGGAAGTACCCACCTATTACTTTTTTTACATGTTCATACCATGGTTCGAGGCACATTGTAGTAATAGGGCCATTGATTAGTCAATTAACAAATACCACTAATTACCTAGCTCTACCAGAGACCAAAGTAGCTGATTAAATCATGATGGGACACAATCAAGAAACATAAATCTACCCATTATCAAATGTTTATAGCCACCTACACAAGATCAACAATGGCTGTGAGACTAGCTGTAATCTGATGCATGTACAATGATACAAGAATACAGCGTAAATTGTTTACATTTTCATTCTCCCAACTGGATATCCTAGAATCTAAATGTAAGTGACCAATTTGGCCAGTGTAATCTACATGTAATTACTATAATTTGACAATTTTTATCATTGTACATAAGTTAAGAATACAAGCTCTTTTTTTTTTCTGTAACCTTTGAATACTCTTGTTAAATTAAAGCAAAACTTTAGAAATTAATTTAAAAAGTATACATAATTTAGTTTTTTGGTTTTAAAATCTTAAATGATACATAATAATGGGGAGAAAAGCAAAGAATATAACTAAAGATTCCTCTTTTTTGATTTCTTATTGTTATTTAATCCATACTGCAGCATTATGACTTTGGCTAACTAGCTGAAAACTAGATGAATTCTTAAAATTCTTTACTCAAGGTGGTAATTGTAGGAGTACATAAGCTATAAAATACAGTTCAATACATTTATTTTTCTGATTCTAGTTCCAATAACAACAATAAAAAAAGTCTACTACTAAAAGCATCTGGCAGGTAATGACTACAGAGGTGGCAATGCAGATATATCAAACAGTCAAAACTTGTTTTCCTAAAATTTCCATCAGCATAATTTATTGAGATATATTTATTTTCTGTAATGCTGTATGTATTGGAAAAATAATATAAACACATAACTTCATATAAGTGATAATATATTAACTTGACTAAATGTTGTTACTAATTTCAAGTAATGAAAAAAAAATCCTACTATGAGAGAAATAAACTACATTAATCAAATTTCTAAATCATAGTATTAAAAAATATTCCACCTCTCCCCTTTATATTTTTACTAGGTCAAGTCTGAAGCAATAAAAACATGTAACAGTTATTACTGGTTGATTTCTCCAATTCTTCTTCTAAAAAAAAATTAATAAGACATAGATTTTCTTGTAATGTATCATTCTTTTAGAATGCTGAGTAAGTCAGTAAAGTGAGCACTTGCTTTTGACTGTTTCTAATGTAGCTAAAGATATAGCACTCATCTACATTTAATCTGACATGAAAAGTGTGCAAGAAATATTTTATTATTCCAATCCTACATAGTATTTAATACACATAACTTCAACCATCTATTACCATATTTTTTTTTATCCTGGTATACTTTAAGCAAGATTTTGGGCATTGTCATAACCAAATACATTGAAATAGGAATAGTTATTCTTTGAAATCTGACATTAGATATTATTCTACCCTTGTGACATATATCATTACAAAACTTTTTAGTGTGTCAAAATTAATTTTGAGCATGAAAGAAGAAATCTGTCACCTAATGCAGCCAATATAAACATATTTTACACTCCCATGGTTTTCATATATCTTATAGAAAACTTGTCAAAGACATTTAATTAGGTTTGTAGTTACAGGATTCCATAAAGGATTTTTTAAATAGAAATTTTGTGCTACTATGTGGGAATATTAGTGCCAGATATAACATCAAAACTTTGCATTCTTCTACTTTAGAAGTGAGAAAATAATACAGATAAAACTGTTTTAATGGCTTACACTGAATCTTAGATTTGTTTCAATATTTTATGTGAAGGGCTTTGCTTCAAAGCCTCAAAATAGCCTCAGATGAAATATTGAGCTTATTAAATATACAGACAAAAAAAAGGGACCATTTGGTCCTTCAAGGCTGTCCTTGCACACCCACCCTTGAAAAAAGTAAAAAAAAAGAAAAAGAAATCCATGCTTTAGTTTTAAGGAAACCATTGATTTCCCTCAGAAACTCCTGTAAGGTGCTGGACTCCACTAGTGACTGCCTATGACATCTCATTCTATAAACTAATCACTCTATCAGAAAAACAAGAGGGAATTTTCAATAGCCACAGCACTTGAAATTCGTTTAGACAGGATAAGAGTAAATTAATCTATGAGACCTTTTTTCCCTTTTTATTAGCTATATTTTTTGTGTGCCAGCAATACCAAGCATGGGGCATGTATATACCTGATCTTATTTTATTACTCATCAGGATCTCTACCAGCCTACCCTCAAATTGAAATTCTTTTAGGCAGGAGTAGAGTAAATTAACCTATGAGACCTTGGGCATGGTCAAATATATTAATTGAAACAGTTTGACCTCCTTGGTCCAAAACTGTAATTAGATTTCGAATCAGTCAAAAGATGATGGAGCTAAAATTTTGTACTAGAAAAACTTGGAGCTGTTCTATGAGTCACTATGCCGCAGCTAATAAAACTGCCTTAGCTGGAGTCTAACCTGTCTATTCCAAATTTTAAATTTGTGTCCTCTTATTATCAAAATATAGCACAATGAAATCAGAGACCTTTATGCAATTGATCCCCTGAATAATCTTCTAAACTTCAATAACATTACCTTTTATCATTTTTTCTCAATAAAAAATATATTAAGAAATCTTAAATTATCTGTACAAAAAAACAACCACCCCCAGAATTACTCTAGTAGCCCTCTTCTGAATCATTTCCAATAACATATTATCTTTTCATATATAAGGAGACCAAAACTGTTCTCAATATTCCAAAATAAGCATAACTAATAATTTCTACAGAGATAATTAACTCTTGTGACTTGTAACTAACAATGTACACTCTAAAATTCTATTGGCTTCACCACTAGTAACAGAGCACCAATGACATGAGTCGCTTATCCACTACTATGTCAAGATCCGTTTCTTCAGTCATGCTATTGAGTGAACTCCTATTCATAGTAACCATGTGATCCAAATTATAGTAACCAACACCATTACCTTTCAGTTACTAAAATTAAAGGTCATTTGCCAAATATTTCTACATCTCATCGATTGATCCAATTCATTCTGTAATATCTCAACATCCTCATATAGCTATAAATATCATCAACAAACTTTACTAATGTTAATAAGAAAAAGAAAGCACTAAAAATGTTATTATTTAACCAACAGTACAGATCCAGCTACTTCCAAAGTTTAAAGAATATATATATGCTAAAATGCTGCATGAAGTTTCCATGCATACATTTCTTTTATACATGAAAGAGTGGAGCTTTCTAAAAATGACTGAAAAACTTATAGTCCTTAATAAAACAAGTGCTTTGGAAATTTCTTCTCATTTGAAACAAGGTTTTTAAATTATTTAACTTAATATACTGAATACTTTGTTTGGATGAATGACTTTCTATCATTTAACTAACTTTTTTAACTCAAAGTACTAATGCTAAAAACCTTATAGAATAATATTAGTACATGCAAGTAGCATAAAATGAGAAATGAAACTGATTGCTTCACATTTCAGCAAAGAATTCACTAAATTTTAAATAAATGATACATATCAAGAAAATAATGAAGCATGTAGTTACATATATATATATATATATACATGAGAACTTATAATATGTTGCTACAACTAAATGCCAATTATAAGAATTTACTTTTTAGTCTGTTAAAAGCATTTATTAGAACCATGAGCTTACTTCTTAATTAGGTGCATTTTTACTACACATATTTATAAGGGATGCCATCATTAGGAATTATTTTATACTAGATGTACTTCCATAGGGTCCCCAAAGTTTTTTGTTTCAAGAGTAAATAAAACCAAAATTAAGAGTAACAAATATTTTTATTTCTTGCTTTTGAAGTTTATATGTCATGCTATGTTGTAGCCTACAGAGTGCATAATTTTTCTTGTGATTCATAGCATGTGCACGTTTTACTGAAGTCATGACAGTACAAATTGTGCAATATTAAGCATCCCTTATGTGATGTTATTTTAGTGTCTACTGACTGACTGACAAACAACACATTACTGTGGTGTGAGTGGTTAAAACAGATAACCCTTCCAGGTGGCCTTTGGCCCCCCCCTTTTGGAGAAATAATGCAGTGACATTCCAGGAAACTCTGCACAACTTGAAAAACATAAACTAAAAACTGCACAAATGGAATTATAAAATGTGATTAAAAGCTTCAATAAAACATGTTTACATTGTATTTACTCAATTTATTGAGTTTTGTTTTGTACCAATATGCAGAGATAAGATATTAAGATACTTAATACAAGTAGGACTTTGTCTCAGTACATTGGGTTAAACTACTTTAGGGAATGGAGTAACAACACAAAGAAAGACTAATATTTTCCAGTGGCAGTTTCTAGATATATATATATAATAAATGGTGATAACATTTTCAGGTATCATCTGCACATACACACTGGTTTAATTAATAGTAATTCACACAAACATATCTTATTAGGTATATTATAACAGTATAAGGAGTTGATTACACAAAATCTTTTTGTCAATTTTAACTTATTTCCAACAGAACTGAGAATGAAATGACTGAAGTATTAATAAAAATGATTTTACACTGATTATTTTTCTTTTGCATATATGAAAATTCCAATGTAATAATGTTGTTAAATTGTTTTTTATGGTGCCAAGGTTAAACACACAAAAAACAAGGTACTTGCGTTCAACTTCATGAAAGTACAAGTCTTAATAAAATTCAAAATTTTCTCTGTACCTTACAAACCGTTTCTATACTTGGTAAGGGCTCTGTGACATGTTCAGCTGTTTCTATATCTATGAAATAGAATGTTTGTAGAATAATGAGTTCACAACTTACTGCTAATGACAAAGTTAACACATACTTTTCTTCTGATCTGTGTTAAAGGCGGTATGACTTACAAGAATTAAGATGCTTTTGTAAGCTAAATGTTGCTTCTGCTTAATTTTAGTTTGTTTGTTTTTCACAAAAATCATTTCAAGTTTTATCTTGCTTTAAACTTGTCAATATCAGCATTTTACACAGGACTAAGGAAATTATAACAGGAATATACGTTAATATCAAGGCGTAAGCTAATAGTAATACTTAGAGTCAGATTAAAAGCTACGTTTTTTGTACGAATATCAACGTTTTAAGAAATAATACACATACGAATCTGATATAAGTAACAAGGAAGTTTAATCACAGTCCTACTAGTAGTACTACTTCGTACTTAGACTTCACCCGCAAGGCGTAAGATATACTAACCCTAACATAATGTGTAATTACTTTACGGAGTGTCATACCTTGTGCTTTAATTAAAAAAAAAAAAAAGAATTGAAAAGAACAGTATGTCCTAAGTTAGAATTTAAGTTACAAAACTATTTATACGTGTATATATAAATGTTTTGTTTTTTACGTAGTTATATATATTTTCTAAATCTTCCAATTATGTCAACCTCAATTAAATTTTAGCACGACAGTAAGTTTTCTCTTACCAAATTTCACAGTTTTACAAATCTTAATTTATCTTTTGCCTTGTCCTTGAATAGCTTTGAAAAATCAGATTTTATTTATATTTAAAAGTTCCTAGACTTTTTCCCAGATGACATGATGAACCTTAGGAAGGGTTTGTTTGTTTGTAATTAAGCACTACACAAAGGGCTATCTGTGCTCTGCCCACCACGGGTATCGAACCCAGGATTCTAGCGTTGTAACTCCGCAGACATACCGCTGTGCCACTGGGGGACCTTAGGAAGGGAAAGGAGATAACATTAAAATTCAAAATGTTCAATAATATCGATAAAGACTTCTCTATCCAGACAAACAGAATCAGTTATTTATGTAAAATTAATTAACATTAAACATGTAAGCTATGATAAATTGTATTTGCTATAATACAATAGTACTAGACTTGCTAAATATTTTATATATTACATTCTTTATTTGATTAATAACATAGGTTTTTGTTGTTGTTTTTTCGGGAAGAGGAGTGTATTTCAACCACACTATGTCCACCATATCCATTACCGAGGGTCCTGGTATAGCCTGGTGCACCAGCAGATTCAGGGAGGTGTGTGTAGTGCGCCCCTTTTAAAAATAAATAATTTCAGTAAAATATTTTATTTCCTGCCTCTCCTAGCTACAGACCAATAATTTATAATATTATATTTAAGTTTGATGTATCATCTGGCTGCATCATATGAATGATCTATGCTGAAATTGTAGGGTGCCCATCCAGGCGACTGCACTCCTTTCCAAAATCCTAGATCCAATACTGGTCTAGTGGTTAGGGCACTCTGTTCCCAACCTAAGGGTTACAGGTTCGAATCCCTTCACTGATCATCCTTGCCCTTTCATCCATGAGGGCATTGTAATGTGGCGGCCATTTACAGTATTCATTGATAAAGAGTAGTACAATAGTTGGCGGTGGAAGACTTCACTCCGCCAACTTAAGAAATTGAGGCTAGTTATAAATCCACATACTAAGCAAAACAATTACCAAAATAAAAATCTTACTATAAAGATGATCCATTATGGGTGTATGTTAGCATCCACCACCTAGAGTTGGCTGGCTCGATTACCGTAATCTTTCGTATAGTAACTAGAAACTGTCCGACGATGTACAAAGGCTATTTTGTTTGGAGATTTTTGCCGAAAGGAGATATAGAAACACCTTGAAATAGGCTTTTCCACTTTCTCTTATAGATTTTGGCTTTGAAATTAAAGACATGAGTACTTAATCAACTAAATGAATCAGTTATTACATTCATCAAAGCAGGGTATGCAATTGGAATCTAATGAGGTCATTAAAGATGTAATAACAAAAGAAAGAAGGAAGGGGGGTATTACTTAATATTGTTTCTTATGCAATTTTTGATTCCTTGACAGGTAACCTCAGCTAGTATATATAATAATACATAAGTGAAAGTTACAGGTATGTATATGTATGTATATATGTATATATATATATATATAACTCTCTTTATAATCTTAACCAAAAGCATTTAGAAAAATTGTTTTCTAAAAATAACTGTGTTAAGTCATTGGTTTCTTTAAACTACGAAAATAGGCAAAGTGTCGTTTTTATGTTTAAAATATATAATAATGAAAACTCATTTATATTTTTATATGATATTATTATAAGATTTGGAAACAAAATGATAGCGCATGTCAAAATGAAAACAGTGAAGTTTGTTCCCAACAAGAACTTTCCAGCCAACCAGACATGGACGGAATGTGGTCTAATGGTTCTCGTGCGAGCTATGGATCTACTAACAAGTTATTCTCACACGCATATAAAAAGAAAGAAAAAAGATCGTGCTCCACATTTTGGGGCCATAGGTGGGTTTTAAAGGTTAAGATCAGCTCTCAGTATTCGGTCAGACAAGTCTACGCCAAGAACTGGACAAAGATGCTGTAAAGCATATGACTTACCTCTACTCTATCAGTTAAAAATTAGTGATGGCTAATGAAGAAAGCTTTTAAGTAGCTTTTAGAGAATATGCGAAGATAAAATATTATATCCCTAGCGGGATAAATTTGAAAAACGGCCATTACTTTGAAATTACAGTGAAAGATTGCAATACCAAAAGAAGCACATAATCACATTTTAGAATTAAAAAATAGCTTTCTTAGTAGCTAAGTATTTACAGAAAATTATTTGTTATTATATTTAATTGATACGTCTATTTTATGAGCAACTGATAAAACTTCTGTATGTTTATATGCACATATGTTTATAATTATTTTCAGGATAATAATATTCTTATACACACACACACACACATATATATATGCTATATATATATATAGCATACCGTCATGGCAAACGAAATTGCTCAGTTCAATTTCCTAAAGATTTGCCTGATAAATTATAAAATTGTTAAATAATACATATACCCACAACTATATATTCTAACAATGACGACCACCAAAAGCTAGCGAAGTATTGAAACGCATAAATCATGCTAGACTATAGACTTTTTTGCCCCTTGAAATATTGCTAATTTTTTCAATATGAATTTCAAATCAGAGATGTGTAAAAGTTGCTTGAAATATAAAAAATGCTGTTATAGCCCAAACTTGTTGACGTGTTCTAACGTTAAACTGAGAAGCTTGGTAATGACTTAGGATAGACATAAAGATACACCTGAAACACATCTCCGAGTTCAAATCTATAATAGACAAATTAAGAGGAATGTATGAAAACGTCTAGAGTATAAAGTGATTTTATCACAAATATTATATCTGTTTTATTCAATGTTTTGTTCACGCGTAAAGTTCCGTGAGTCAACGTATCTTAATATATAAGAAATTATGCAACCCTGACAATTTTGGATAATATATTGAAGTGTGCAGTTACAAACGAGAACTTTAAAGCTTTATAAAAACAAATGTGTTAATTAATTAAATAATCTCTGCATATTGTAACTACAAAAGGACCAATAAAAATTATATAGTTTCATATCAACGCTACCCAGAAACAAATAACTCTGTTACTATTCGAATACATAATTCATTATGTGATGAAATTGTAAATCTCATACATTTCACATATGTTGACTTTTTCAGGATTTTATAACATTTCATGGGTTAAGTTAGTAATGAAGTCCAAAAATCATCGTTATGTAGAGGTCAGGATTAACCAATGTGCACTGGGTGCACTTGCACATGGCTCTTCGCTAAGAAGGTGCTCTCAACCAAGGAAAAATAAATCAATGAGATTCGAGAAGTAGGCGTATATTACAATCAGGATGGCCCAAACGCCATTCAATCATTTTATGTTTATGCAATGGTTGCAATGTTTCCATAGCCTGTCTATTACTTCAGGTATGTTTAATTAATTATATTTCATATTATCTTATTGGAGTAAAAACACAAAACGGTTGCACTGTCAGTGCTGCTCGTGTATTTTCTGCTAGAAAAGATTTAATTATTATATTGTAATATAGGGAGATGTTTTGATGTTTATAGGCTGTATACCACGTGCTATGTCTAGTTTAAGGAAAGGGGGAGGGAAATTCCATAATGTACAAAGCGAAAAAGTTTTTTTTTTTAATTCGGCACTGGCATATATTAAAATATTGAAGAAAATGTTGAATTAATAAATCTTTAAAACAGAAGACTAATTTTTGAAAAAAAAACAAAAAACACCACAATTTTTCAACAGAAAACTGTATAGAAACAGATTTATTTCTGTTTTGCGGAATCAACAATATTACACAGCAAATCGACGAGTACTATAATGTATATTTGAAAGGTTTAAAATTTAAACTGTGATGTACCCTGATCACCATATTAACTATAAAACATCGAAGGTTAAGTGTTAAGTGTCTAACAGAAAATAAACGTTAACTTGAAGTACGTATGCCTCACAATACATGTAGAATACTATGATATACGGTTCAAACTGAAGAGTATTTTTATAACTGGTAAATTATAAAATAAGTGGTATAACATAATTTTTATGTTTGTATTTAGTATAGGACTTGATTGCTTAACGAAGCAAAACACATATACTAAGTGGATAACGCACCCAAAGTTATGTGAGTGACATTTAGTTGTTTGAGCTATGATTTAGGAAATCAGTCGTACTAAAATGTTTAACATTATCTCTTAAAATAATAGCATTAATTAAATGTTTTTTACTTGAAATCACACGCAAAAGAAAAGTGAGAAGTATAGTCTTAACGTTTTGAGGAAATTACATTTAGTGAAACTGAAGGTTTATTATCTCATTGTTTTGATATTCTTGATATGGTAGAATAATTAGTCTACAACTTTTATATATATATGGGATTGAATGAAAGAGAAATTCCCGGATGTTACTAGATACGGAATCAAAAGAAACAGGAAGCCTTGAATGCTTTTTGGTATGGAGTCAATTGCAAAATTGGATTTTGGAAAATATTTTTAAAAGAACAAATCAAATATAGTTCTGTTTGTTTTATTACGTGAAACAACTTGGCACTAAGTTAATTGTTTGACCTACTTTACATTTTAAGCAAACATATGGAAATACAGTTTTCAATTAGATATTGGTTTTAATAAGTAAATTAAACTATTTTAGTTTTTGTAATCATTCATAATTCTGAGAGGGTGAGTTTTATGGTTTAATTTTCAAACTTCAATCAGTTTATGCGTTTTGATCTAATTAGGCAAAGGAGTCTAACGCCTCATGCTAATGAAGTGTGACTTATATTTAGTGATTGGATGTTTGTGTGACATTACATCAAGACAAGACTGATAATAAGTATTTTGAATATTTCTTTACTGTCTCTATATTACAGGTTTACCAGTAAGAAGAACATAATAGCATCTCGACCGCACGCCACTGCCGAAAAGGCAATGCGAATGCAACACCCAAAGATATATACCACAATGATTGATATAAATAGCGTTACAACCAATACTTGTGTTGCGTTCCCAGCTAACTTAATGAACAGTGGTATTGAGAGAAAGGTCTTGTCGGCAGTGGTGCGCGGTTAAAATGCTATTGCGTTCTTCTTTCTGGTAAACCCGCAATACGGGGCCAGTAAAGAAAGATTTGTAAAAAAAAACGAAAAAAAAAACTTGTCTTATCATGATTTCATTTCACACAAACTACATCAGAATAGCTTCAATTGAGGCTACGGTAGTTACGGAAATCAAAGATGTCCAGAAACCTCGAAGATCTCTACACAAAATCAGTTACACTATAGGAGAATTACACATATAGTATAGGACGTCAAATGTTTAAGATCCAATCACTATGAATTTTTCAAAACATATTCAGTTATTAAAGAATGTTGCTCAGTACAAAAATAATAAAAATAATGTGTTACATTTTAAAGTATAATACGCAATGTGTGATTTGATTTGTATTTTTTTTTTCAGTTCTCCATTTCTTTGGCGCTACTTCGTATTGTATTTACTGGATATGTTTATATCAGCAAAAAAGAAAAAAAAACATTTGTTTTTATGACGATTTATGATTGTAATGTGTAATTTTTCAACCAATCAAGAAATAAATTCGTGATAAATTAATTTTCACTTGTAACGTTTCTCCAATGTTGTATGTGGATGAGTATATGTTGTAATTGCTGTTAGAAGAACGAAACTGTAATACATGGACGCGAGATTAGAAAAATGTATACATGTAGGGAGAACTCACTTATAACAGCCATAACTTATCCTGAGGTGAGAAATTGAAAGAGAACATCTCTAGGGAATCTTCTAAAAGCCAATTTTAATGGGATTCAACATTTTAGAAACATCACAATAATTGACGATTATACAAGTATCTTGGCACAGTGATTACCATTCAACTTTCGCTAAGAAAACTGAGGGTACTACATATGTCAAGAATAATGAGAAAAACAGGAAATGGACTTTATATTTCACAATTTACTATCCACATTGCTTTACATTTAAAGTGAGAGTGTCGTTGTAAAAAAAAAAATCAAATTTTGTTACTTCTCTTTAATAATTTTTTTATCAGGTAAGCTTCACTTGTGAGGAATGCTATATATATATAAATAAATGACAGAAATAATCATTTAATAGTGTCTCAAAGACGGCAAAAAAATATTTGAATATTTTTTACTAGATAACTAAAATAAGACGACACTTTCTCTTTAATAATATCCAAGAATGAATTCACGAAGGTTTAGATAGCAAATTATATAGAGTAATGCTACAATCATTCAGAAATAATATAGTTGACCAACAAATAATATTTTCTGCATTTTTCGAATACAGTCTAAAGAAACTAATTTCTACACTATAGGTAAACCTGAGAAAACCATTCAGTTTCCATTATTAACTTGCAACACTATGATCAGGCCTCAGGAATGTCTGAACATAGAGTACACCACTAAGTTATCTAAAATTTGCAATAAAAGAGACGATTGATTAATGACAATTTTGTTTCACACTTAAACGACTAAGCCATAAAAAGAGACTTTACATATCTTCTCTACCTTTGAAATGAAATAATAATTCCATATATATATATATATCAAGTTTGCTTTGGATTATGAGATAAAAACCTATGCTTACATTTGTATAACCATGTTCATCATTTCACTTTCTGCTTGAGCCTGATTGGACTTCTTAACGAAGCTAAAACAACAAAAGTTTTGGGCACTAACATCACTATACATATTTAGCACAAGATAATTTTTATAATTTTAAGTTTCTGCGTGAAGCGGGTGCCTTTAATATGAACAAACGTTTACCGTATTAAATTGGCTGTGTGTATTTTGATGTTAATTACGTTTGTAGCAAATACTACAAATTACGGTTATCTATGTTAAACACGGTTTTTGTAGTTTGACAGTCTTACTGAAATCTTACAGAACCTACAAGTATTTTGTGATAACTTTGTAATTTTTTTAGTAGGATTACAGCTATTTTCTGTTAATTTTTATAGATTAACATGATTTGTTATACATAAATCCAGTTTATGGGTTTTGAGGGAAAAGGTCCCCATAAAGACGAGTCAGGACTAAAAGGGAAGTTTTATAGTATGACATATTACGCTGAAATCATTAGAATAATTATTATTCAGTATATTCAAATCTGCATTTAATTAAAGTATCACTGTACTTTCGATCATGTTATGCAATTCACTATATTATATTTTTATCTCGACAATTCAGTGAAGAAACTTACTTAAAAATATCAATTTTCGACATATCTTAACGAAGAGATGCGGCCATGGCAGAAATCAGAGATACCCTTAGACTTATCAAGTACTTTTTGTTATTGAAATGAAATTCCTCCAAAGTATGGAACTGTTCGGTGTGAAAAAAAAGTATGAAAGTAAATATAACAGCACACAAATGCCAAAATACTAATGAAATTAAAATTTGTCTTTGGCTGGAGCTGTATGGTGTTAAAAAATAAAATAATGTAAGAAATCAGATGTAACAGCACACAAGTGTTAAAAACAATAATGAAGTGAAAGTTGCACTATGTGTGGAACTGTATGGTGTGAAAAAATATAATAATGTAAGAAAAGAGATGTAACAGCACACAAGTGTTAAAACCACTAGTAAAGTGAAAGTTGCACTATGTGTAGAACTGTATGGTGTGAAAAAGAAAATAATGTAAGAAAGTAGATGTAACAGCACACAAGTGTTAAAACCACGACCTATCTCTAACTAATTGTTATTAATAACACAAACTAGTTTTAGATTTAAACTAGTGGGAGCTTACATTATCTTAATTGTAATGTTTCGAGCTCCATAACTAAAGTTTTTATTTTATTATTTTTACTATGTATTTCTACCAGTTTTACTTACATTATGAAGTTGTTGCTACAAACTGCAATAAGTTTTCCACATACGTTTTATTTATTTTACAATTAATTTTAGGTTACTTCCTTTTTGCTAGTTACAACATCGTAAAGTTTGAAGTTTATGTGAGAAAAATAGATTTTTCATATTTAGTTTTCTTTTATATTTTCACCCATTTGAATTATACATAAACATTTGCACTGTCTTCTATAATAGTAAAGGATTTTATTAGTTTGAAATTTAGATGAAACAGGAAAAAGTGTGAAAAATAACGAATGTATCTTTCTAATCCGATAAAACAGAATGAAAAAAGCTCAGTACTTAAAGTCTGTTTAAGCCAACATTAATAAACATCTGGTGGAGGCCATCTCTTCAAATTCTGCATGGTGAATAACAGTATCCTGAAGCTAGCTAATGAATTATATCCTAGTTACTTCAACTGTTTCGACCTAATCACCACTAGCTTGGAGGATCAAGCTATTTTTTGAAAACTAATGTTTCACACTACTAATGTGATATAGATATATCTCTTAACATACAGATGATGTCAAACGCAGATACACTAGTTCTCAGTAATTCATGGTAAGCTTTTAAAGTTCTCAGGCATTTTTTCATCCTGTTTTATCTTAACAAGTAAGTTGGGCCAGTAGGAATCCATGAAGAAACTCAGACACTTAGTCTTGATGACTTAAGCTTTCCCTCTTGAACATTTCCAGGTGCAGATCTGAATGGTTTACAACTGAGCCTCAGTCTTTCCTCGTGTTAAAACAGCCAGATCGCATTCTCTTGTCCAGGTGCACACGAATGTACGCCTTTTCGTCGACAGCAATTTTCAGATTTCTTTGCACAAACAGATGGCAAAAATCATACCGAATATCTAAAAAGAAAGACGAAAAAATAATTTTGAAATATTTTTCGATTTCTTATATTCAGATAGAAAAAATAAAAAAGAGAGCAAATACAAGATAATGTTACAATAATACGCTTTTAAATAGAACAAGAAATAGAACTGAATCAGAAAACGCTAACTACTACACTTCAAAAATTGCTGAAGAAAAAAGTAAGCATAGTCATGTGAAAACTAACTATGATTAAATATATTACACTTAATTTAGACGCAAGTTACCCTAGTGGCATAATTAATTTAAAATGTTAATGTTAAATACAAACTGTCATGTGACGGTAAAGTGAGAATTAAGGATGTAATTTATTCTTCTCTTCTAGTTTAACTCATATTTAAAATGACTGATTATTCTCGTTTCTTGATACAGAAACCTCTTGCATTTAATTTTTATATATATAATAAATTTTATTACAACTTTAACAGTCTTTAAAAAAGGATAATTACTTTTTATTTCAACTTCCGTGTTTTATTTTTAGAGTAAAGCCGCATTAGTATATCTGCTGTGTCCACCTCGGGGAATCGAACGCCGGATTTTAGCGTTGTAAGTCCGTAGACTTACCGCTGTCCCACCGGGGAACGTTCGTGATTGACAGTTACGTTTTGAAAACTTAGGTCTTTATCTTTGGTAAACGCCTTCATATCACTTGCAAACGATAGCCATTGACATATTGCAATTGTTAAAATTTTCTATACCGGGAAAGATAAGTGATCACTTTATTCTAATTTCCTCGTAAGAATGGGTCACCGACAAGTGCATGGATTCAAGTTGATTCCCAAATATGAGACTTCAAAATAAAATAAAAAAAAAAAGAAATACACAAGCTTATTATTGACTTACTGGCCTAATGTATATCTTTAAAATTCCACTCATGAATTATACAATTTGAGATCTTAAGAAAACAACTGCTTAATTAACTTCTCATCAGTGGTGCTGATTGTTTGTTATTTCATACTTAGAGAGTGAACAACACTTAAACATGGGCTAAGCGGCGAGGCCAGAGACCCTAAGCTTCAGACAAAGCCGACCCTATTATAGAAATCCTGATTAGTAGGATGGAACCATTCAGTAGTACTTGTCGCCCACACGGCTTTTCTTGACAAGATATTGGCCACGTCCGACCCAGTCGCTTGCAAGTTTGTTTTAGAACAAAGCTACATTGAGCTATCTGTTATATCGCTCTTGAGTGGTTCAATTGCATTTTTGGATTTTTAGGACTGATGTAAACACATACAACACTAGCACATTTTTAGGATGAATGTAAACATATACAACACTAACAGATTTTATGGACTAATGTAAACACACACACAACACTAGCAAATTTTTAGGACTGATGTAAACACGTACAACATTAACGGATTTTAAGGATTAATGTAAACACATACAACACTAGCAAATTTTTAGGATTAATGTAAACACATACAATACTAACATATTTTAAGGACTAATGTAAACACATACAACACTAGCAAATTTTTAAGATTAATGTAAACACATACAGCACTTACATATTTTAAGGACTAATGTAAACACATACAACACTATCAAATTTTTAGGATTAATATAAACACATATAACACTAACATATTTTAAAGACTGATGTAAACACATACAACATTAACGGATTTTAAGGACTAATGTAAACATATGCAACACTAATAGAGAACAAAGTATTTGCTTATTCAATTTGTCAATAGAAACTTTAGAAACGAAAGTAGTATCAATTATAGAATCATTATATTTCACCACTAGTTAGGTTTTATTGAAATGATTTGAAAAGGTTCAAACGTACATAGCCAATAGAATCACGAATTAAAAACGACAAACAAATATGGTATTATAATCATTATGTATCTTGAGTGGTTTATGAAAAACAAGCGTTATGAAACATCTAGTTAACAAACATAACACATTAAAATAACGTTCAAAGTTTAGGCATATAACACGCATTGAAATAGAAGCTGTGTAAACTAGAGAACCAGAATAATAATATTCAATTATATCACATTTTTTCATGTATATATATGTCTGAATATATATGAACGATTCAATACACCAGTATACTTCTATTGAATGTTGCTTAGTATAAAAATACATAGCTTTCAATTATATCAAAATTTTCAAGTATGTTCAGCGATGCATAACCTATATATGTCTGAATATATATGAACGATTCAATACACCAGTATACTTCTATTGAATGTTGCTTAGTATAAAAATACATAGCCTTCAAATATATCAATTTTTCAAGTATGTTCAGCGATGCATAACCTATATATGAACCATTCAGTACACCAGTACACTTCCATTGAATGTTGCTTAGCATAAAAATACATAACCTTCAATTATATCAAAATTTTCAAGTATGTTCAGCGATGCATAACCTATATATGAACCATTCAGTACACCAGTACACTTCCATTGAATGTTGCTTAGCATAAAAATACATAACCTTCAATTATATCAAAATTTTCAAGTATGTTCAGCGATGCATAACCTATATATGTCTGAATATATATGAACGATTCAATACACCAGTATACTTCTATTGAATGTTGCTTAGTATAAAAATACATAACCTTCAATTATATCAAAATTTTCAAGTATGTTCAGCGATGCATAACCTATATATGTCTGAATATATATGAACGATTCAATACACCAGTATACTTCTATTGAATGTTGCTTAGCATAAAAATACATAATGGACTATCTGTGCTGCACCAACTGCAAAGATCAAAGCATACATTTTAGTGTTATAATCCCTCAAGCTTACCGTTATGTGTTATGGTAGTACTCTAGATATGCAACTAATAATATACATTTCCTGAGAGAACAAATTAATTAAATGATGGTAGACGAGAGTTTGTATTAAATTTGCCGTTTTTATTTATTTATCACCGAAATATAATACAGTATCACTTTAAATGATATATATATCATAAGATTTGCTAGATTATAGGGGGAGGATGTTGTTCCATCATATTTTATACAAACATATCGGAATATCTACTGAATGTTGCACATTCGTCACGTGATACAAATGATCCCTATAAATCATCGTTCGTGCATTACACAACTAAAAGTTACTGTGAATACAAACGAAACAGAGAGAGAATTTTGCTGTTTTATTGTTCACTATACGCAATGTCTTATTATATATATATATATTGTACTCACATGGTTATTTTCTAAGAATATCTAAAAACATAATAAAACTCGAAATTATTTTGAATTGAATAATAAAAGGAATTTAATTTGTGCTGTGGACATAACAATAGCTTATTTTCAGCTTTAGTTTGAAAGTTTGTTTGTTGCTAAGCGCAAAACTAAGCAATAGACTATTTATGCTAAGATCACTACGGGAAGCCTTCTTGTTTACTACTGAACCATTGAAGTACGGTTTGAATGAAAAACATTGGTGTTAGGAACCCCATGATCTTTATTTAAAGTTATTTGACATTACTTTTATCCATTTTTGTAAAATTTCCTCTGTGATCGAATTTACTATTGTCATGCGATGTAATGGTTAATTATGAATTGAGCGATTCACTTTTTAATATAAGTTATGATATAAACAGTGAGTAACAGTCATGGCTTTAAAATGTTTCTAAACTTTGTTAAAACTGGTGATGTTTTTGTCTGTAAACCTATGTTGTATAAACGATATACACATTAATGTGTCTATTTATTTAGGAAACTCTTAAGATTAATTGTAGAAATTGTTGTTAATTTAACTTATAAGCCAATATCATTTCTCACTCAAAGAACTAATAATTACTTTGGCAATGAAAAACGTACGGACTTCTAACCAGTTTGTTTCGATATATCGTTTCAAGAGCTGATATATATATATATATTATAAATATTTATACGCACGTAAATATATATATATATATATATTATAAATATTTATACGCACGTAAATATATATATATATATATATTATAAATATTTATACGCACGTAAATATATATATATATATCATAAATATTTATACGCACGGAAATATATATATATATATAGTATAACTAATAGATCCTTAAGCATTGAAGATAACTGCTTTTTTATAAAGCCCTGTGTTGTTCTAAGAACCACTTTCTCCATTGTTGATCGTGCTCAGTCTGATGGTCATTACTATTGTCCGACACAGCAGTTTTTATTGCACTAAGTTTCTGTGAAGAACAGAGAGGTCACTTTAAGACCATACATCTTTTCAAACGTTATAAAGATCCTCTACAGCAAGTGGAGTACAACCATGTTTAAGTAGATCAACTTTGGGATTGTGTCGGTCGGAGAACTTGACAACAATTGTTTAAACATAGGACTACTGTGATTTAAGATTCTTGACCATCTCTATCGATAAAATGACTATTGATTTTAAGGCGTGACTGAAGCTTATAAATGTTGGCTTGGGAGCTTTCGTCAACTTAAAATCAGGGTTATGCCAACATTCATTGCAGTGGCTTCTTTGGTTGGAGGATATTTTTGCGTAACTATACCTTTCATTTTGCCGATGAGGCCATTGCTCTTAATGTGCTTGGGGAGTGGTTTTGGAATTCATTACTATATTAAATGCTGTGCTGTGTGAATGTTTCTATTTTTATAGATATATTGAAGGCTCCCTTTCCCGAAATTTTGTACCTTTTGACTCTGTTTTGTTTAACGATCGCACTGTATGAATATTTTGCTTTGGAATGAACGGTCACAGCTCATAAGTCTAACTGTGGTGGCATTGCTCTATCGAAAGGTAGGAAATTCGCTGGGAACTGAATATATAGGTAGTCGCATCTACGGCGATGCGATTATTTTCCGGTCTACAATACTTTGATGTTGACTAGGAAGTATAGCATACATAAGGATGTTTATCAAAATAATTAAAGAAACATTTTGAAGAGGTCACTCTGTGGCTCAATGATAAGTTTAAGGGCTAGTAACGCTAAAAATCAGAACTCGATCCCTGAGGTTGGCACAGTACAGATAGCCCATCGAATAACTCTTGTTTTAACAATAAAACATTAAAAAATAACTACAAAAATAATTCCTTTTTGCCCATTTTCATTTGCAAATGCTTTTGGTAAACACAAAAGCATAAAATGTAAATCACGTGTCACGAAACATACATAGTTCATAGTAGTAGTAAAAAATAATTTTCTATCTAACTGATTTTATTCTTTGGTCAATGGAAATAAACGTCACATTTCTTTTCTACAAAGTTTTACATCTTAACTAACAATGCGTTACCCTATTCTTATCGCTAAGCATTCTGTTATAAAAATGAGCTTAACGACAAGACGAAGGTTATACTATTAGCTAGAGGGTCAAAACGAGTCACGGAAAAAAAATGCGCTTTAAATAAAGCAAAAGTTTAAGGAAAACGGAAGCGAATTCTAATTAAACTCATAATGAAATTTATGCAATTTTTCATTTTCGGACGTGTGCTAGGGCGTATAATTAACTTTTCTATTACTTACGTGTTTGGTTATTTAAGGCTAATTATTTAAATGAGATAATTATTCAGGAAACACTTTTGACTACGTAAAGATGATTGAAATTACAAGAACTATTTAATAGCAAGAATTATTCGTTCAATGAGAAGAGATCCGAAGATTATTTTGTATTAAATACTGTACCTAAACTAATTTGTATTTAATAAGTCACTAAATTGCAGTGGTCTACGAAATTTGTTCCTTTACAGCAAACAGGATGGTAAATAGTATGATTATCTCAAACAGAACTTTCAAAATAATTAATAAATACTTGCTTATATAATATATATTTTTTTCATTTATTACAAATCTTACAGGAAAGCTTAGTGTGGAAAGTTTGTTTTGTTTGTTTTTTTTGGAATTTCGCGCAAAGCTACACGAGG